TCATGTTTTGTCTTCCCTTCGCAATATGAAGTTTCTGCCCGTATATAAGCCCTTCGTATAATAGCATCGATGGTGTCCTACCAAAGTCCGAATGAATAAATCTTGGTCAAATGATTTGATTCGGAACAACTGGCGACCACAGCAGGATTCGAACCTGCAATCTTCTGCCGTCTATGTTGATGTCATCTTGGACATGACTTCAAGAACCGTCCTACATAGTCTGCGGAGATTCATTGCTACTGTCGGTTGCCCAACATGGATCATCTGTGACAACGCTAAGTCATTCAAAACAATCGACCAGTGCTACGCTTCTCTTCCAGAGCCTCCCGTCGATGAAGATGTTCTTATGATATGATCTAGATGTTCTAACTTATGCATCACCAAACGGATACACATGAAATTTATCACAAGCCTGAGCCCATGGCAAGGTGGAATCTACGAAAAGATGATCGAAATTTTCGAAAGATTCTTCAGGAATGCTATTTGCAACAGACTCCTTGACATCGAAGATATCGCACGATTGCCAAGGAAGCAGGAGCCATTGTCAATACCAGACCGCTGACGTACTACACAGATGACATAACCTACTTTCCTCTCCTTCTTGCGACCTTACACTCGACTCAGTGGTCCACAACCGTCGGAAAATGACGCCGCAGAGCTCGTCACCACTTTCTGGAGGAGGTGGACTCAAGAATACCTTTCGTCTCTCTGCGAAAGCTTCAAGTTCCAGCATAAACAGCTTCGATCACATGAACAGAATCCTCCAAAAAGAGGAGACTACGTCATCATACACGACCCGTCCTTTACATCGAGGTCAGTGGAAAATGGGAGAAATCGTAGGATCTCAGATGACTCGCTGTGAACATATGCGCCAGTAGAAACTCCGTCTTAGGTGATTTCAAAGATCTTCAACCGATCCTGTTCAGCAATTACGTCTTCCTTCAAAGAAAATCATCACTCGAACCACACAGCCTGACTTACATTTGGACGTTCATCGCTTGGTCCAGAAAATTCATGTATCCGCAACCAACGTTTCGTCCGAATGTACTATGGCCTCAGGCCGCCATGCCGCAATTCTGGAAATACCGGGTTCGTGACATAATTCAGACGACATCGTATGCTCGCGAGGTCATTGACAGAGACCTTACCAATATCACGAGGTTTCTCTGCCTGATTGCTTCCCTTCTCGTGCAACACACGTCTCAGCTATTAACACACATTCATGCTAATATCTGTACGTCCAACCAATGCGCTTGCATAACGGCAATCGCGGATTTGAACCCGTTCTACGCAAACAAACCATGGACAAGGCGGATTCTAACTGTGCTGCCGCTCTCCTGTTGGCCTCGCAATCGCGGACACCTACCGTTTCGACCCTCGATTCAACAACCCATTCGCAAACTTATGGCGTTCGCACTATTGCTCACTGCGCGAACTGGCACCTTAACTATCCTGCCTCTTCAGTACGAAGCTCAGGACACGCAACCCATATTCGTCGAACTCAGTAACTCTACCAAACGCCCACTTCGCCTAGTATATCGCGACAACGGTCCTGTCCTTCAATTACACTATCGAACGTCGATCGATAAACGTAGGATGGAATCGGAAGTATTTCAGTCAAGTAGAATATTCAACAATTCTCCTAAATTATAGGTGAGAACCCACAATCCACTATCCAGACACCAATCAAAACTCACCTAAAACAACCAATACATCGGTAAGTTACGACTTCAATGAGTTGACAGCCAAAGGATGATAAGGCCACCAAAATAGGCAAGCTGAAAGGAAACTTTCACGCCTTAACGTCTCTTCTGCACATACGACAGCCCTCTCGCCCTTTAGTCATCGATGATTCACGGCAAAACGGCGGCGACCAAGGCATGCCAGTGAAGGCATGGGGAACTGTCGTAAAATCATACTATGGTTATCTAGTAGGAACACCAAAATGGAAAGCTGATTTAGCAAAAAACAATAATGGATCTTCTCAAAACAACGAAGAAATACCGAAGAGCAACAAGGGAACGAAGCTATCGATGGAATGCATTCAAGGTGGCCTCTTAATATCCACTCAAGAAGAATGTGACATCATTGCAGCCTTGCATTAGGGGCTATTGCGTATATACTCGAGAGATCGCCTCCGAATCCATAAGGTTCCCACACTCCCTTCATTATGTACGACTACACTGTTTCAGTCAAGGCTTACTCAGCTGGGAAATTGGTATACGATGGAAAAGTTCAGTGCAAAGCACATCCGATTTTGCGAAACCCTCCGATGCGTTTCCTGTTGGGAACGACTCTACAACTCACAATGCTGGACAATAATGGGGACCCTACCCATTATAATTTTTGCCGTGCTCCTCTTCATATCGATACCGTGGCTTTGTTACATCAAGAGATTCATTGGACTCCTGCTCCTCGTCGTCAAATTCCTAATCTCCGAAACAACCGCCATATGCTACCTACGTCGGAGATCACTAATACTACGGAGATACAATTCACGTCGTCGACAGAAAGTTTTGAGTACTCTAGTCTCATTGCTTTCACTTCTCCATATCACTGAAGGATGCTCCCAAATCGTCTTCATGAAAGCCCACGGAGAGATTTCTCTAATAACGGATGGTAATGAAACTTGTACCTTTCAACGAAGCAATGCTAATCACGCTCCAACCCCTACAACAGGAAACCTGTATCACACTGAAGGACCACGACAATCACTCGGTCGGCATAATATCGATGAAGGTCAATGGCATCCAGTTTCAGTGTCGGAAGAACATCGAGTTTTTCACTCGAGATCACCACCTGACCGTTCACCGATGCTACTCTGCAGGAAGCTGCAAAGAAGATGCATGCGAAAACACGTCAGCAACCGATAAAATCAAGGAATTTTCGTTCACAGCAAACAACAGTCCTGGGTACACGTTCTGTTCACAAAGTTGCGGATGTCTAACATGTGATGGCTGCTTCTTCTGCCAACCGAGCTGCCTTTTTTACAGGATTTTCGCTGTACCAACCACTACAACAGTGTACACTATCTTCACATGCCCTACTTGGGAAGTCGTTGTCAACATGGAAGTAACGGTTCGTCAAGAAGACTCCACTACATCAAACACAATCCAGCTTCATCCGGGACGAACCGCCATATGGAACAATCTCAGATTCAGTCTCATAGGGACAATTGTTCACAACTACCAATATTATCTTCGACATTCGCAGAAACGGACTATTCCACCTCAATTGTTAAGCCTTTTCATCGAGGACAGCTCACACCTCACAGCGCCGGACAATTGCAATGCTCTACAACAGCACGCAGATCTGTTCAACTGTTCGTTCTCCCATAATGCGTGCAAATGCACTCATGGTCTGCACAAGGCGTCATGTGTCTGCAGTCCCGGTAGCGTCGCAGATCTCATGCAACAATCGCCACTACCACAGGCTTCCAAGAACTACATCATCTTCTCCGAGAACAAAAATATATTCGCCAAAATCAATGTTGGATCGGCTCTACAAATACACTTCGTAGCCGAAAACATGAAGGTAACAAGTCGTCAATCGAACAGCACCTGCACCATCGAAGCGAGCGATCTCATTGGATGCTATAGTTGTATCGCAGGCGCTGAGCTGGCTCTCTACTGCCAATCCAGTGAAGGGGAAGTCATAGCAAGTATCGAATGCCTCTCTCAGACGCAGATAGCACGCTGTACTCCAGCAGGATACATCAGCACTCTCATCAATTCCACTTCGACACTTCCACAATCTCTACTGAATGCAAAGCTTCTTGCCCAGGAGAAATCACGCCCTTTACAATGAAAGGCTCATTACACTACGTGGACGACAACCTCATTTAGAGCGACCTACACTCAGAAGGACAATCAAGAGACGTTCCAATGGACACAATATTTTTGGAAGATCTTCTTCTGAAGTTACCAATTTCATTAGTAAAGCTTTACATAGCCTCCAGATTTTCTAAAAAGAAGCAATGACACGCTTTTCCCCCTTGGGAGTTTTCTGCACTTTGCAGAATAGTACAAAACTTCGAATATCTTCTGGTGAATCGCGACGAAAATTTTCATTTCGGTGGATTCCTTTCTTAGGACTCATAAAAACGCCTAGTCATAGCCTAATTTCAAATGTCATGTTTTGTCTTCCCTTTGCAATATGAAGTTTCTGTCCGTATATAAGATCTTCGTATAATAGCATCGATGGTGTCCTACCAAAGTCCGAATGAATAAATCTTGGTCAGATTTGATTCGGAACAACAACAATCCGAATGTCGTTTGTGTTGAACCCAGTGTCCTTCGTTGTCATCGTGGGATGCAGCGTCTGAAGAATCTGACGGTATATGAATATTTCTCCTAGAGAATTCACTGTCGACGGCGTTCATGAGGTGGTCCAGCTGTTCAAGTTGATTTACAGCAGCAGCGATTGATTCACGGTAGTCGCCGTACTTAGCAATGTATTCCTTGAAAGTAGTAGTCTCTTCTGGCTGAGAGTGCTGGATAGTTTCCCATTCGTCGTGTAGCTTAGTGATTTTTTCATTAGTCCTCAGCAGGTTTCTTCTAGTAGACGAGTTTCCTGACGGAAGGTTTCCAGTTCGTTGCCTGTCCAGAGGGTCGAATTGTGGGGCATCAGGAGTGATAGAGTAGTCGGCGAGGATGGAAGTGGTTGCAGAGATGTAGCGGTAGATCTGCTTCTTGAAGAATCCGATTTGGCGACGGATTTGGGCTGTGTCGTGTGGCGGCGGCTGTTTCAGGTACGTCGAGTGGGCAGCAGAAGTAGATTGCTGTGGTGCTGGAAAATGAGGCAGTCGCTGACTTTCCTAGGAGTCTTGGTCCCAGCAGATGATTCGTCGTTAGAGACACGATTGGAGATGTTAGTGGAGACGTGGTTGGCGATGCGGTCGCAAAACGATTTTGTTCGACCTCAGATAGTCAATAGTGTGTCAGATGATTGGGCAGAAGCCGCAGTAGAAGGCGATGGTGTCAGACGGTTGGGCAGAAGCCGCAGTAGAAGGCGAGTGTCAGACGGTTGGGCAGAAGCCGCAGTAGAAGGCGAGTGTCAGACGGTTGGGCAGAAGCCGCAGTAGAAGGCGATACGTTGGGCCTTGTCGATGAGACGATGGAAGACGATGATGAAGTTTCACTGGTTCTATGGAGCCGTGGTCGCCAGTTTTTCGAATGAATGAACCTTAGTCAAAGATTTGATTCGGAACAACTCTTGATTCCTTGTCTTGTTCTCAAAAAAAAAAAAAAACTACACTCCATCAGTCCTGGATTACAGAAGCATCAAACGTGCACTGGCTTGGCTGGCTTACAGACACATACATCACAAGTCACTTTCCGGAAGCTTACCGAAAGGTACAGCCCTATCGCACTCAGCCCATATATTTTAAAGTCCGCAATATACCCGTGTAATATAGGGGCGCAGTTTGACGACGGGGGGAACATTTTACACTTTTGCTAGTTCCCATCGACGTGTCGACTTATCTAGACAGCCTCTTCCCGAGTTGACAGGTTTTAACATTACCAGTCGGATCCCGGGTGCTCCTCCTTCTTTGTGACGGCCCGGCTTAGCCAGGCCGGCCTGGCTTCGCCAGGCAGGAATAGAGTGAGACAGTCTGTAGGGCGAAGTAGAGTGTGCAAAATGCGCCTAACCATCACAGTGCATTTTCCAGCAAAATGTAGAAAAATAACTGAAAATAGCTCGAGCAATGGGTTAAAGTTGAATCAGGTTAGATGGTAGGATTGCAACCGTTGTCCCAATGTAGCGCTGAAATCTATCCTTTTGTCCATTCTTTTTTCTCGGAGTTAGTACCAAAAATCTCCATAACCCTCACACGAAAATTTCAGCAGCCCGTGTAGAGAACCTTTTTTGAAAGCATCGTCGCGCTTGATGCGTTCTCCACTACTGTAGGTTTCTTTTTCTGAAATGCACTCCCGCATTCCGACAGTTTAGCACTTCGAATGGTCCTCTCTCAGGATGTTGGTGAAAGACAGTCATAGTCATAGTGTAAAGCCAGTTGCTGCTGTTCATGGCAACTTAGTAAAAAACCGTCATGCATCTGAATTCCGGTTGCTTATTCCGGTTGCTCGGTTGTGTTCTTTGCTCTATGATTGGTCCGATAGCCGATAGGACGTGAGAGCTGTGTGCGAACTACTGAGAGCCTGTTACCTGTCAAATCAATCGCATTGTGGCAGTAAGCGGTGTTGCGGATTCCCGCATGGTGACGCTTTCAACCCTTATCAGTTTGGTGAGACTTACCAGGGAGGTCGTTCAGGATATGGCGCGCTTTTTGAAAACGGTTTTTTGCATTGTGTAGGGGCACGTTCATGGACTACCAAACTGACGTTCATTTTTCCTAAATGGCTCTTGAATACCAAAAAAAAAGGAGTGAAGAAGAAATGTAAGGAAACGGGCTGGTTTTGAGCTTCTATGGGCTCCAAATCACTTCCAACTTTGACCAGTGGCTGAGTAGTGGGTCCTTATAAAGGCACTATAGGTATCGAGGAGGAAAGTAGTCGCGAATGGATCT